ATCCTTACGCGCGAACTCATCATCGTCCAGATGTGCGACAAAGTAGTATTACAATTTATTAATTTTCATAGATCGTAAATAATAAAACACAATGGTAAAAAGATATATATTACTCTAAAGGTTCGAGGGCTCCAAAAAATCCGGTGATTTTGGTTCCGCCGTCTCCTTCGGCATTCGTTACCATGTATAATGTCAAACAATTATTACAAGATGCAAAGTATGAATCGGCATATTATATAAGAACAAAATGGGATTAGGTACGCGTTTACATTTAATATGGAGCTAATTCATAGTGACTATTATAGGTTTGAGGAACAAGCAAGTCTTCGTAATAATCAAAAAAGGGAACATTTTATTAAAATTTGTCACAATGGAAAGACTTTTGAATTCACAGATTCAGTCGATAATCTCCAGGAATCAGATTGGTTAGTATATAAAATTTTAAGACACATACGTCAAGTAATTTATAACTTGTATATATTACTTGCAGGAATCGTGTAGTTTGCGTTATTACTGATGGAAGCGAGTGGTTATTTAAAAGATACAAGTGGAAAACACCAGAAGCAACATTTAAGCATGGTATATTTTTGCAACATAATTTGATGTTTTTTTTTTTTTTTTAAGAATTTTAACCTAACATTGATTTCAACATCTGCCTGTCTATTGGTCATCACAGTACCAGGTGTTTATTTTAAGTATAATCATGATGAAACTAAAAAGAATGCTAACTGGAGGAATGTTTCTTGCATAAACGTATGTAGATCTTCGCTTGAGAACTTCCAAAATTAAAGTTAAAATATTACATTAAAAATATCATGATTTTAGATTCATCGAGAATTGAGACACAAGGACTCTGAAGCCTATACCCAATTTTGGAATATTGTTGAAAAGAAAGTTTACGGATGGTAAATTTAATTTCGTTTGGTTTAAGCTGTAAAGCATACAAGTTCCAAATTAAAAACCTAAGAATTAGGTTTTTATATATAAGTTTCGAGCAATCAATATTTTGTAAGACATAACAATCAAAATATATTAATAAAAGCAATTCATATATTTTTTGAGCTTCTGAATAACGTAATGTCGCGCTAAACTTTGGTCCTATTTTGATATGAAATTTTAAATTTTTTGAGGAGTGTTTTTTCCGCTTTTTTTTAGGGTTGGGTTAGGATTCGTGTTGTTAGGCGAAACCTAGCGATACCTAGTTTCGACCTTCAGCAAAAAATAAATAAAATAAATAAAAAATAAAAGGCGAAATGGTGAAACGGTCGAAATTAGTAAAGTGGCAAAACTAGAAATGTAATTAAGTTAAAAAACCCTTTCATGTTATTTGTTCATTAAATCATTACATCAAAATCATGTATGTACGTACTACGTAAATAACAAGTTTCGGTTACGCAATAAGCCATAACGGTCAATCTAGATGTCACAAAAAATTGCACGAATCGACAGAATCACGTTTTTAAAATTTTTACCTAACCTAAATTCTTAGTCATAACACATGACATACTTAAAACAAAGAAGTTGCCACAAATCGAAAATTAACGTGAAAAATTAAAGTCACATCATAACATGTGACCCTTCAAAGATGAGCAATTATTTTGGCATTTTCTTAAGAATTATTTTCAGTTTGCAAGATCTTGCCTGAAAAATAGATGTGCATAACCGTGAACTTTTTACAAAATGTATCTTTGAAGTTCTAAAGTGTAGAGAAGATAAAAAAGCATTTTGCACGTCCTGAATCGGTTTTAAGATCATATATAACATGATCAGAAAAATTTTAAACATCCGATTTGTGAAGAATCGTTTATTTCTAAACCATCTTTAGTGCACTAACAAAAAGTTTACCTTAAGCGATGTTATGATATCTACAACTCTAGTAGTAGCGTCCCAAATATAAAAATAACCATTTTATTATTACATAATTGTTAAGGAAAACTTTTTATGTTTTTCAAGACTTTTTTTCGGAATTGTCTCTAATAATTTATTATATAAATTTAAATTTGAACTTCACACCTTGCTTTACAATTTATTCGCTTAGTCTCTTTTAATCCCAGAACTTTCATATTACACTTCACAGACCAAAGTTATGAGTAATTCGTTTGCTATATCGATTGTTGCACAAAAAAAACAAGCTTAAAATAACAACGCTAGAGAAATAATATAAGTAAATTTTAGATTGTAAGGTGAGTGTGGGTATTATGGCGAATGCGGGTATTGTGGCGAATTGAACATATTACAAGGAAATATGATTTTTTACTAAGCAAATCGAAGTTCATCCACTAAGTAAAGTTACTGGAAATGTTGTTTTTTAGATACCTTTAAATTTTGAAGTGATTTAATTAACTTTTCATTAATTGATTTTCACGTTATACTTCTTGGTGCGTAAAATTTATGTTCTGCGCCAAACGTATAACGTGAAACTCAATTAATGAAAAGTTAATTAAATCGCTTCAGAATTTAAAGGTATCTAAAAAACAGCATTTCAAGTAACTTTACTTAGTGGATAAAAATCGGTTCGCTTAGTAAAAAATCCTGTTCAGTATAAACCGATTATTAGCTATAGAAAATTGATGTACATTCGTTACGTTATGTATTATGATAGCGATAATCACATTAACTATTAAATTATGATAGTGATAATCACATTCACATATATCGATATCTCTTTTTTTTTCTTCGCTAACCCTACAAGCATAGCAAGTCCAGCTAGGTAGCAAATCTATTATAATTTTTTTCATAAATTCTTTTTTTTTTCTTAGTAACTTTTTTCAGAAATCACCCACTTTTACTGTATTTAATTTTTTTTTTGGCCAATATAAGACGATAATTTATATTTAATGCGACATAACCGAGTAACCATGATTCCAAAGACTACCATGAACATGTAAAATTAACAAAGACTTTGATTTGTATTCTGTCAAAGGAACAGGTTCCCTGGCTGGAAGTGTAAGATAACAGATTATATCTAGGTAATCCCTGGATTTAACTGCTAGAAAAAAAAACCTAAGCTAATGCATTTTTTTATTTAATTTTTGATGAGAATCAAATAAATGATTAATAGATTCTATATAATTTACCCCTCGAGACCATGGTAAAAAAATTGAAATGTGTATTTAAAGCGAGTGCATATTTGTAGAGAGACTTGGGTATTGACAACCAAAACTATAATTGTTTGGGATTCGGGTATCAAGTATAATAGTATTTCTAAAAGATTTAAGGTGAGCCGATTATGATCACGTCATGGGAAGAATTCCTTCATCAGATGAGTCGATTATGATCACATCGTGAAAAGAATTCTTATTAACTTCTTCATCAGATGAATTTATTATGATCACATTGTATAGAGGAATCTTATTAATTTCTGCATGAGATTCTTTATTGTCGATTCACAACCAACTACTTCTGGAGTTTGTTTACTTTCCAATACAGTTATTTGACCCCTTTCAATCACTATTTTTTTATCTACAAAACATTCATCGTTCGTAATTTTAATTTTAATTGATTCTGGTTCTTCATCATACGCCACCTTTTCACACTCTTTATGTTCAATAAAAACATACTTAATGGGTCGTTTCTTCTTAGATGAAGGATGGGCGGTAGCATTTAGTTGAGTAAAAAATGTTGACGGATTAATTTAAAAAAAACTTGGCAGATGTTGTTTAGAGATGTGATAAATTTAATAAAAAAAATTATTATAACGAATCTGAATATGTGAAGATTCATTTTGTTTATGTAGGAATGCTGGCATTAATAAAATAAATTGTATTATCTGATACCCTACTATGATCGGGACTATCAAATAACTTCAGTTATTTGATAGTTTTTTACATATAAAAGCTGACTTAAAAAATGGTTTATACGCAAATCAATTTATTTATTTATTTCCTATATCTAATGCTATTACGCTGCAATTATATAAATTAATGCTTTTTTCATTTTTTTATAATCTTTACATATTTCGCATTAATATTATAGTAATTTTTAATAACTGTATTGCTATTATTCAATTCTGGCCCTTGATCACAAACTTGATCATATTTTTTTTTCAAAGTTTCTGCTCCCGAATATGATAGTTCTGAATGCAATGGTCCTGAATGTGATGGTCCTGAATGCGATGGTCCTGAATGCGATGGTCCCAAATGTGGTGGTTCTGAATGCGACTTTTCTAAATGTGATGGAAGGTTTACTTTTGAAGAAGCTTTCAAGGGTGAACGAAATGGTGCAAAGACTGAAGGCCGAGATGATATTGCTGAATTTGTTCGTTTGCTTAAAACTTGTTTGCGATTATTGTTGGCCATTACTTGTTTTTGTGAATTGTTTGAGAATTCATTATATTCATTTAAAACTTGTTCATGCGAGTTACGTAAAGGTTCGTTATTACTTGAAGGTTCCTAATGAATAAAATATTAAAATGAATATTTTTTTTAAATGAATAAAAAAAAAAACTTCACCTCTAAATTATTCAAAGGTATCAATCCAACATTATCTATTAACAATGATAATGCATCTTCCCTTTGTTGATTTGATGGTCGTGCATAAATACGATATGATGATTCACTTCTATGTCCAGTTAAAGACATAGTTGTAACCATTGGCACTCCTTTTTGGAATAAAAATGTAATTGGAGTTGATCGTCCGGAGTGATTAATGATATCACGACCATTAATATCAATTCCAACAGCAATACAAATATCTTTCATAAGAGATCTACATGTATTTTCGCCTAATTGAATATCGTAAAACCATGGATCTTGCACAAGATCTAATAAAAATTAATAAAAAAAATAATAAAAAGTAAAAATAAAAATAGATATATACGTATAATTTATTACCTTTTGCT